TAGAGACGGGGTTTCACCATGTTGACCAGGATGGTCTCAATCTCTTGACCTTGTGATCCACCCGCCTCAGCCTCCCAAAGTGCTGGGATTACAGGCTTGAGCCACCGCGCCCGGCTGCCTGGCTTTTAAGGTACATTTCTGTTGGGGTAAGGGTTGAGTCATCACTGGAGGATTGTGGCATCCCTCTCTCTGTCACTGTTCTAGAGAAAAGAACAGAACTAAGGAGCAGCCTAACACACCTGTCTGCTTTTCCTCATCTGCAGACAGGGAAGGGGAGCGTCTCGCTCCCAGAGCGGCAATGAGAATTAAGTGAGATGCTGGCGAAGCTCCCAGCGTCACCAGACGCCTCAGTGGTTCGTTCATTTCCTTTCTTGGCAACTTGACCTTCTCCCCTCTAGAGCCTCAACTTCAATGAACTCTGCTCTGAAGGCCTCATTTCTGTCCCCACATCTTGTACACTAGGCACACAAAGGTGCCTTCCCACCCCGCACAACTTTTCTCTGCCCCTCACTCCTACGCTGACCTCTGTGTCCCGGTCTCCGTCCCCACCACGTCCCTATGGCCGACTGTGCGGTCCCACAGGTGTGGGGGGCATGGGTTTCCACAGACCCAGAAGGGTCAGGAGCTGAGGCTGGGACTGACTAGGCACATGGATCTTGAGCCGTTTATGTCACCTCTGAGCCTCAGTCCCAGATCTGTGGAGAGGGATGAGGATCCTCTCCCTTGGGGCTGTGGGAGGCTCAGAGCAGCCACAGGTGAAGTAGCACAGGGCCCAGCACGCAGCAGGGATTCAGGTCAGCCTCTTTCTCTCTTCTCTTCCCCCCGGACATCCACCGAGGTCAGTGTTTCCTACCCCTCCTGGGCAGGCACCCAGCTTTGCCTGCAGCCCCTGTACTGTCCCCACACCTGCACAGATGAAACACCAGGTGCCTGCCCTCCGCCTGCCGGCCCCCTACAGTCGATGGACCACACAGTCCAGCAGGGTGGGCACTGGCCCTTTCTCCTGTGGTTCCCAGGTCCTGCCATGGTGGTGTGTAAAGATTTGTGGAAGGAAAGAAAGGAAAGACAAAGGGAAAAAGAGGGAGGAAGGGAGGCAAGAAGGAGGGAGAGAGCCCCTGAGCCTTCACCCAACTCCTCCCCCACAGCCATCTGCTGGGTTCTACCCCAGGTCCAAGGTGGACGGGAGAGGGGAGGGACCCCCAGGAGACAGCTAGACCCCATGCTGAGGGGGTGTGTATGAGGTGAGGTAGAGGCTCACCCATGGGTGCCCCCACCATACCTCAGTCTCCCTCCATGCCCCCAAGTCACTGCCCACCAGCTCCCTTGAGGATGGGGGAGAGAGGTTGGCCCACAGAGACAAGGGCTCTGGGAGAGGGTCCCCTGCCATGAGCAGCCAGTGGCAGAGGGCAGGAAGGGCTTCTTGCATTCCAGGACTTGGCTCAAGCCTGAGGCAGGTATTCTTAGCTCCACTGCTCCTTCAGGGAAACTGAGGCTTATACAAATGGTCACTGGCCTGGGCCCTGGGACAGGGATGAGTGGTAGCCCAAGCCTCATGCCTGCTCCGCCTGCTCCTGGCAAGGAGAACAGCAGGAGCTGAGGAAGGAGGGGCTGGAGAGCGTGGCAAGTGGGCGCTGGGCATGCAGAGAGCAAGCAGGCAGGAGCAGACCTGAAGCAGACCCTCTGCAGCTTCCTGGAGGGGAAAGAGGGGGCTGGGGGTTGAGGGAGGTGGGAGGGGGCCGGGCCCCAGCCCCAACATACCAGTGCAGACCAGCCCGGCATCCTCGCTGTGGTCACAATTGCTCCGGCCCCAGGGGCTCCGGGGGCAGTCTCGGAGGGCCTGCTCTCCTCCTCCACACCCCACGTCGTCCATCCACACGGGCCCTGCGCCAGGCCCAAATCTGGCACCGCCGGGGGCAGCCAGCGCCCCCCCACAGCCCAGCTCCCGGCACGCCACGGTGGCGTCGCGCAGGTCCCAGCCATCATCACATACGGTGCCCCAGCGCCCGCCATGCCAGACTTCCAGGCGGCCGGCACACCTGTGGGGGCCAGAGACCAGGCGCAGCCGCTCTGTGGGGTGAACAGGGAGGGGACAGGAGGCTCGTAAGGAATGATTCAAATACCCCTCCCTTGGTCTTCACCTGGGGAAACAGGCCTGAGGCAGCGATGGCCTGAGATCTGCCCTCCAGCAGCCGTTAAGGGGAGAGTCCACGACCTCAGTGGGCCAGGACACCTCCTGACAGGGCAGGAAGAGGGGACACCAGGCCTGGCTTTTAAATCCCCAGGAGGGACGAGGTAAACACTGGGATCCTTCCAGGGCCTCGGCTAAGGAGAGGGCACCCGCAGGTCCTCAGTTTATCTGGGCCCCAGGCCTCACAGCATCCAGGTTTGGGGTCGGGGGAGCCTTCAGGGAGCTTACCTTGGCGGGGGGCTCCAGTTGTCAGCAGAGGGGCCCGGGTGGACTTGGCCTGCTTGGGCCGGGGGCCTTTCTTCCGGGAGGCGTTCTGGGGGTTCCCAGCTGGGCGGGGGGCTGGGAGGAGAGACAGCCAGGAGTCAGGAACTTCACTCCTCATGCTTCCTCCCATGTGGGGGCCGGGCCTCCCTCTCTGAGGGTCTGAAGTGACAGAGGACTCCCTGGGCTATGAAGGAGACAGGAGTGGGGGGACAATCTGTCCCCTGGGAGTTCTTAGTGCAGCGGTCCCTGTCCCCTCGGCAGATGCAGGAGGGTGCGCTGGGTGGGGGCGGCATGGCAGTCCTCTGGGCTCACCGTGTGTCACTGGGTTCTCCTCTGTGCTGGGACCCAGCTCCACCGACAGCCCTGGCCAGGGAGCCCCATCTAGGGGAGATGCTGAATTGTCCCTGGAGTTAGCCACGCGCTGACCTGTGGGCGGGAGACAGAAGTGATGAGGAGAGTAGGGGTCAGAGGTCATTTGGTCCCTGGCAGAGGGAGTGAGACACCTGGCTCTGGAGGGGATGGGAGGCTGGGTGTCTCTGGACGGCTGCACACTCAGACTTGCTGGGGCTCAGGACTTGGGGTCCCTGGGTCATCTCCAAAGGAGCCGCCCCTGAAGGAGCAGCCAGGGTGCCCTCACCTGCGCAGACGACGCCCGCGTCCTCCTCGTGGGAGCAGATGTGGGCCTTCCAGCCCCGGTGGTGGCAGACGCCCAGCTGCCCCTCATGGCCCCGGCAAGCCAGCTCGCTGAGCCACACAGGCCCTGCCCCCTCCCCGAAGAAGGCGCCCCCGGGGGCAGCCAGTGCCCCTCCGCAGCCCAGCTGCCGGCAGGCCACGGCGGCGTCACGCAGGTCCCAGCCGTCGTCACACACAGTGCCCCAGCGCCCTCCGTGCCAGACCTCCAGGCGGCCAGCGCACCCATGGGGGCCATCGGCCAGGCGCAGCCGCTCTGAGGGGTGGAGGAATGGCTGTGGCAAGGAGGGGCATCCCTCGGGCCTCACGGTCAGGGGGACTGTAGGGGCGGGGCCTGTCCTGCAGGTACTGTCGGTAGCTAGCAGCCCTACTCACTGACCCCTGGGCCAGGACTTCTGGATGCTCAGAGAGATTCACCCAGACACCTGGGGGATCCCAACAGGGGGCAGTGGCAAAGGTCATAGTGGAATTCAGGTGGGGGTGAGGCCAGGCCTAGATGGGCAGAAGGGGGAGGCCTGGCGCTGGGAGGGGGGCAGGTGGGAGAAGTCTGGGGCACTTACCAACAGCCTGGATCCCCACCAGTGCCGCTGCAAGGGAGGGTGGAGAGTGGGGCAGAGTGAGGGGCAGGCCTCGGGTGTTCCTTTCTCCAGCACAGGCCCCTCATCTTGAATACCCCGACACACACACATACTCTCCTCACATCCTCACACCTCTGAACCAGGAACCCCATGGCTGGGAGGCAGGACTCTGGACAGAGGGCCTGGATGAGACTTGGGTCTCTGAAGCGGGTGGGTGGGGCTGCAGTTGCCTGGCCCCTGAAGTCAGGGCTAAGGACCATGGTTTTGGTGTTCCCACATGGTCTTGGCTAAAGGTCAGATGTCTGGGAGATCCCCTGCAGGGTCAGGGCTGGGGGCGGGCAGGGGGCAGATCCCTCGGGTTTCTGGGCTGGCAGAAGGCTGCGCTGAGCAGGCAGGGAGCCTCAGAAGGGATGTCAGGGTACCCCAAGCACCAGGGACCAGTCCCGGAAGTTTGAGTCCTTAAACTGGATAAGCTAAGAGGTCAGAGCTGGGGGCCTAGGCCCCCTGAGTCCCCAAGGAGAAGGGATCACTCACCAAGGAGGCAGGCCAAGACCCTCATGTTTGCAGCCAGGGCAGGGGATGGGGTGAAAAGGGAAGGAGAACGGGAGAGGAGAGGAGGAGGCAGCTGGGGAGAGGGGGAGGGAGGGAGTGCCTGCCGGAGGCGCCCAGGCCTGAGGAGGAGCAGGCAGGGCTGGACGCTTTGCCAGGAGGAAGAAAGAGGCTGCAGGGAGGCGGCAGGGGACAGGGCGGGCTGGAGGGGGCTGGCCGGCGGCTGAGGCATTGGGGGAGGGGGGTGGCGGGCGGGAGGGAGGGTGTCCAACTGCAGACACCCACACGGGAGAAAGAGGCAGGCTCCAGCCAGCGAAGCACTGTGCTGAGATGCTTAGGGGGTGGCCGGCTGCAGGAAGGCACAGGGCAGGGATTGTGCGTTGGGGGCCACTGTGAGCAGGAGGGGGCGCCTACCTGCTGCCTCCTCTCATCTGGTAAGGGAAATACGGTGAGACCACTGCTCAGGTTGGGGCTGGGCAGACCTGGGACTCTTGGTGCAGCAGCAAGATTTGCAGCCAGACACCAGGAGGGACTTCCCGGATGAGGAAGAGACTGAAAAACCCGACCCTCCAGTCCTGCCCCTCACTGGTGGATCTGAATGTGAAGCCCCCCCGTCCCCAGCTGAGGGAGGAGAGGTTGAACTTCACTGTCCCAGAGGGAGCTGGGGTAGGGAGATAAGCAGCCCAAGGTCAAGGCTTGTGAGGGGGAGGGGCTACACACACACACACACACACACACACACACACACACCCCACTCCCTGCACACCAGGCAGCTGTGAGGCGGAAAAAATTCGGTAATAGGGAGCGTGACTCAGAAGGGCTGGCAGGGCCCAGGGCTGCCCCTGAGCTCACAGTCTCCCATTCTCCCAGTCCAGCACCGCCCCCCAACAATTAATGTCAACTGGGGAAAGGAGGGGCCAGACTGAAGCGGGTGGGGGTGTCCAGAGACAGTCTGGAAAAAGCATCAGAGATGAGACAGGCACACAGCGGTTTCAGGCTTTATTAACAAATAGTGTAAAAAACCAGACGGGTCTGGAGGGAGGGCCAGGGCTGCCGTTTCAGCTCTCCACCTTTCCAGAGAGGGGCCAAGCCTGGCAGCCCTGTGCACTGCAACCCCTAAGTAGTCAACCTGGTCCCCTCCAAGGGCAGGCGTCTAACCCACTCCGGCTCCAGGGAGGCAGAGTCACAAATCCTAACTCTGGGGCATATTCTGCTCGGCCTCCTCTCCCCCTCCCCAGTTAGCTCTCCCAGGCCTGTGGCACAGACAGCACTGGCTTTGCAGACACGTCGACCAAGGAGATTTCTCAGTGCAGACGGAGCTGAGGTAGGGGTTGGAGAGGCTGACCTCGAGACCAGAGAGGGAAAGGAGTCATTCTACTCTGAGAGGCTAAAACACTGCAGACTTCACACTGCCGGCTGGTGGGTGAAGGCCAGGCTCCTCCCCTCAGCAGACCTCTGTTTCTGAGCCCTGGGTGGCTGAGGACTCACCAAGGGAGTGGATGTAAAAGTACCTGCACACAGTAGGTGCTCATCATGTGCTGGTGCCCCTCCCTCCTTCCCTGCCCTTCCTGGCGGTCTGTAGCCTCACAGGTCTTTGCTGAACTCCCTCACCAGTGTGTAGCCTAGGCAGCCCCAGCCCCCCTCAGCCTGGTAGCCGCAGCCCTCCAGCATCCCCGCCACCCCCCAGGTGGCCACAGCCACGGGGACCACGAGCCTAGCCCGGGTCTCCCCCATGCCCCCAGCCCAGGCCCGAGCCCGGGCCTCCGCAAAGGCCAGCAGCCTCCTGCCCACTCCCCGGCGGCGGTGCCAGCGAGAGACAGAGAGGCGGGTGACCCGGGCCCCATCCCCTGCATTGGTGCCAGGGGCCAGGGCCAGGACCCCACACACATCGCCAGAGCCCCGCACTGCCACCCAGGGGCCCCCCAAGCCACCCGGGGGAGGCAGTGAGCCCCATCGGGCCCGCAGGCCCAGCTTCATAGCGGCCACAGCCAGGAACACCGGCAGGAGGAGGGCCAGGGCAAAGGAAGCCAGGACAAAGCGCAGGCCGCTGCTGGCCGCCGCCAGGAGGAGCAGGGCTGGTGGCCGTGTCAGGGCATGGAGGGCCACGCGGTTCTCCGTGTCCTTCACGCCGGCCTGTGGGCAGGAGGGGTGGCTCAGCCATCCAAAACGCTAGGGCCTCCTGGACAGGAAAGGAGGTGGACCCTGCCCGGAGCAGGGTGGGAGCTCCCAAATGGGAGGAGAAGGCAGCGTGGTGCGATGATCAGCAGTGTAGCACACTGGGTATGGAGTGAATGAATGAATGAATGAATGAGTGAATGAATGAATGATGGATGGCTGAGTCAATTAGGACTGTGGAGGCACCCAATTCAGTGGTGGTGCCACAGTGAGGTGCCAGGGAAGTAAGGACAGGGAGCATGGCCCAGGCTGGAGTGGAGGCTGGAGGGACTGCTGGACTAGGCTGGGACGCTGGGCTGTGCTTTGAAGAGCTGGGGTCAAGGCACAGAAATGGCTCTTGTGCTGGTGTGCAGGGCTGACTGGAGGTGGGACACCAGGGAGGGCGTCGGTACTGGGGCCCCACTAGGGCCCGCGGGGGGTGGGGGTGAGCCCCCAGCTGCCACACCTGCTGTGGTTTTCATCAGCACTTCCAGCTGGGAGCCTGCTGAGGCTCAGGAGGAAAAGATCCTGCTCCAGGGGTCCAGGCTGGCTCAGGTGGAGGGAGTGGCTGAACCCACTTGCAATGCCCGGCTGCAGCCACTCCTTGGGGCCCTGCCTCTCACCTTCAGCATCTCCAGCACCAGGGGCTTCTCATCTTCCCTCATCTCCCGCACTGACAGGTGGCTGGGGGCCATGGCAGCCCCCAGGCCCCCGCCCCCCAGAAGAGAGCTGGCGTCGTGCACCTGGTGAGAACACAAGTAGGTCGGCGTCAGGGAGGCACCTCTGTCCCCAAAGCCCCCCGCGGGGTGGGGAGCAGCACCAGCAGCACTTCCCAGATGAGGATACAGAACCCTCGGGGCCCAAAGCGAGGAGCTCGGCAGGACAGGCGACCCCCACAATACTTAGCGACCTCGCCAGAGTCTCCCGGGATCTCCCCTCCCGCGAATTATTCAGCGATCTACCCCTAAACGCGCTGTGGACGCCAGTACTGCAGGACGGGGCTCCCTCCCAGGCACCCACAGGCCAGAGGACGCACCACGCTGGCTCCGCCCCAGCCCCTAGCGCTCCCTCCCCACAGTCGTCCCCGTCCCGCGCCACAAAAAACAAGGACCCGCCAGCACCTGCGCGGGTCGCTTTTGGTCCTTTGGCCAGGCTCCGGGAGCGGGTCGGCAAGGGGGTCGCTGGCGGAAGTGACGTCACCCGCGGGGGGGGCCGCGGCGCCTGCTCCCGGCCGTAGCAACCGTTGCTAAGCTCCCTGGAGCGCGGGCGGGGGGAGCCGAGCGGAGGGCCAGGAGGTGACCTCTCCTACCCTAGAGAAGGAGCAGCGGGAAAGGGGACCTGAGGAAAGATGGGAGCGGGCGCCGGCAGGAGACAGGCGGCGGGCGGGCACCAGCGCGGGTCCCCGCCCCACGTGCCCTCGTTGCCTAGCAACCTGAGCGCAGGCGGCGATGCCAGCGGGTGGATTCTCCGTGGTGCCCCGGCCTTCGCGGGAGGAGCCGGCCGCACTCAGCATCCTCAAGCCCAGCGGCGCCCGACCCCCCCATTCCACCCACGGGGCGCCAAGGCTCGCAGGGCTCTCCCGCCTAAGGATCCCCGTTTTCCAAATGAGGGGGTAGCGGGGCTACTCACAGTCAACAAATGACACTAGCTGGACTCTGATGCCACCACCTCCCCGCTGTAGTGACCCCTGCGTCCTTTTTTGTTTCAGGACGGGGAAACTGAGCCTCACATAGTGGCTGGCCACAGGACGCAGAAGTTAAGACTCCACGCTCCCAGGCAGGGGCTATGGCCATGACTTTGCCCCCTTCCCTCCCCCCAGGAAAACAAAACACAGGCGGGGAGACTTGGGTCTTTATTAGCAAGCCCAGCCTGCAACACACAGCCGCGCCCCGCCCCGGCCCAGACCTGCAGTGAGTCGGGGTCTCTGTGTAGGGCGGGAGAACCACTGGCTCTCCTCAAAACGTGTGCACTAGCTGGACTGCGGGTAGGGTCTGCACAATCTGGATGGAGGGCAGGCCCTGCGGGGTCATGACACCAGTCCCAGCTCCCGCGGGGACCACTTGTACCATCTGGGAGGCTGGAGCCGCGGGGAGCGCCGCGGGAGCCGAGGCTGGGCCGGACGGCTGTGGGGCCAGGAGCTGCAGCGTGGCGGCGCCTCCTGCGGCGCTGCTGCTGTCCAGTAGCTCAGTGGCCGGGGCGCTACGGATGATGAGGAGTTTCTGTCCCGGTGAGCCGGTGGCCGGCGGCTCGGTCAGCCCAGGGGCAAGGGTTTCTACCTCCTGTACGCAGAGCCTGGTCTGCTCGCCATCCGCCCCGCTCAGCACCAGCACGCTCTGCAAGCCCTCGTCCGTCTGCAGTGTCTCAAAGAGGACATCCTGGACCACACCGGTGCTGGCCTCAGCATCCCCCGCCTCCCCGGGGCCCGGGCCTGTGAGCAACTCCTCAGCTGCCCCACTCTGAACCACCAGCAGGTTGGGCGCCTCAGCTCCTCCACTGGAATTGGAGAGCTGGCCGGCCACCGGCTGGAGCTGGACCGTGGTCACTTCCTGTGCCGGCTGGAGCTGGACTGTGGTCACTTCCTGTGCCGGCTGGAGCTGGACCGTGGTCACTTCCTGTGCCGGCTGGAACTGGACCGTGGTCACTTCCTGTGCTGGCTGGAGCTGGACCGTGGTCACTTCTGAGGCTGGCCGGAGGGGCTGGAGTTGCACCCCACTCATTTCCTGTGGCCCTGCCTCCCCGCCCCCTACATTCTGCAAAACGATGAGGCTCTGCCCTCCCCCGCTGGCCCCAGCGCTGGCCGCTCCCTGCACCCCCAGACCCCCAGGGCCCGGCAGCCAGACAACTCCCGCTCCCTGACCTGCCTTCCCCACTGCCAGTGGCCCCTGCCTTGCACGGCCGCCCCCCGCCCCAGCACTGGAGGAGGGCAGCAGGATGAGCTTGGGCGGTGTGGGAGGGGGCGGAGGAGCAGGGGGCTGCACGCTGCTGGGGATCAGCT